CTCTCTCCCTCTCCCTTCCTCTCTGAAATCAATAAAAATGTAAAAAAAAATTAACTATATAACATAAATATGTTTCCACTTCATTAAATATTTCATTTCAGCATTTGAAATAGCTATATCAGTAAGAGTAGTGCTATGATTTACTTAACCAAGTCTCAATTACTGGACATTAACCCAATTTTCTGCTATTAAAGCCAATATTTCATGGGGCATCTTTGTGTTCAGATCCTGGCAAATCTCAGCAATAAATTCTTTGGCACAGATTGAGGATGTTGAAATGCTGGTTCACAGAGCATGCCCATGTTGAAGGCTTTGACATGCACCTTTAAACATCAATTTCAGTCTCCTTAGTCTTGCCAGCATTGCATATTATCTTAACAAAACTATTTTGCCAATTTTTTAAAATATATTTTTATTGATTTCTGAGAGGAAGGGAAAGGGAGAGATAGAAACATCAATGATGAGAATCATTGATGGGTTGCCTCCTGTAAGCCCCCTACTGGGGATCAAGCCCCCAACCCGGGCCTGTGCCCTTGATTGGAATCAGATCCAGGACCCTCAGTCCACAAGCTGACGATCTATCCACTGAGCAGAACCAGCTAGGGCTACTTTGCCAATTTGATAAAAGAAAAATGTTATTTCAGTGCGGTTTTACTAAGAATTTCTTTGATTGCTAATGAGGCTGAAGGGTTATTTGAATCTGTCCTGGACGGAGGCCTGGGCGTTCAATATTTAGAGAGGGGGTGGGGGGAATGGTGGGCAGAAGGAGCCTGGAGCAAGCGCCATTTCTGTAGGCCGCCACTTCCTGCTGTAACTCCTTAGGGAGTGGGATTGGGGCAGGACAGGTTTTGACATGAGCATCAATTTCAAGCCTCCCCAAGTGGGCACTGCCTGGGTGCTCAACTGGCTACAGTTTCTTGGGCCCACACGATGATCAAATAGTTAGGACCCCTCGGTCCCACAGGGAACACAGGGTGGAGTGGGGAAGGGGGTGGGAACAGACCCCCTCTGTGGGGCAGGGATTGCCCCAGTCCAGTCGAATCCATGCTTTTAGAAACTACTTTGTCCCTTCTTCAAGAGTTAAAGAATTTTCTAATTTACTCAACTAAACACACACACACACACACACACACACACACACACACACTCACACTCACACCAATAAACAAAAAACTTAATATCCAAATAGTAGCATCTGGATTTAGGTTTAACTTGATTTCATTTGCCTTACATCTTGGAGAATTTCCTAAACTAAGAGGGCCCAAAGGTGACTGTTTTCAGCTCCAGGAAACTAAATTGCCAGACGTCCCCTAAATGGCAAACCCCAGGCAATCATCCAAAAGACCCTACTACCTACAATAGTTAATAAACACGCCTGAGTTGGAGCTGAAAGTTGTGTGGTTACACAGCCGTGGTTCTGACCCCTAGAGTTACCGAGGAGGCACAGGCTGTCCCTTTGCTGGTGTTTTTGCTCGTGCAAAAGTATCACACCCTGCAATGCTTAGGTAGCAATTTGGACCACTCCAGGGTCCCCTGGCTGTTTTGTGGTTTTATGCATTTCGTACATTGTATGCAAGAAGACCTGACCTGGAGCAGGCAGCAAGAAGTGTGTAATTAGAAACACTTCCCAAGGAAATGAGGTGGAGTGAAAGCTTGAGGGTTTCCGCAGGAGCCGGAGCTGCAGACTCAGTGCAGGTGCTTGGGACAGCTGCCCGCTGATAAGGCGTCCAATTGCTGTGCAGCTGGTTGCAGGCATGGGGCAGCCCAGAGCAGCAGTGTGTCTGTGCAATGCAACGCTCCACTTTTAACCTTTCGTTGCACATAAAAAGAAATTGCTGAGCCCACCCCCCCCACCTTTTCCTCCTACCAATTTCAGAGTTTGTACCGGCCAGGAATTCTCTCCAGGTCTAATAGTTCCTGGAGGCTAGTGACCAGTGGGGCTCAGTGCCTTTGGCTTCTCCTCCAGTGCTAGCTACTCCAGCTGGTCATTAATTACTGCTCCAGGAAGCCTTTCCAATCACATTAGCGTTTAATCAAAACAAAGACAATGAACTCTTACTGCTGTCAGCAATGACCACTCTCCCGGTGAGTCTAAGTGGGGTGTGGAGGTTGTACATCCAAGAAGTGTCCCTTGGGGGTCCACTGAGGAGGGCTTTCTCCGGAAACAGCAAAGTTGCTCGGAATACCCTTGAGTTTCCGGGTGCCAGGGCCGGAAACAGTCCTCCCCTGGGCCCCGGGACCATGTGCTGTCGAGTGAGGAGGAGGCTGCCTGGCAGGCAGGAGACCCAGGAGGTCACACATGCACCACCCTGGCCCAGTCCTTCTTCTCCGTCAGTGTCCTCCTGACCTGGCCGCGAAGCCCCACATACTTCTATGGGCGTCTGGGAGGAAAGACTGTGCCCGTGAGCAGTGGCATGACCCCAGTGACCACGCCTCCTGAGAGCTGTGCCAGCCAGGCGCTGTGCCAGGGTTCACACACATGGTCTCCATGAACCCCACGCCTCCCCCTCAAGAAGAGTGCAATCATTGTCTGTTTCACAGATGGGGAAACTGAGGCGCAGAGAGGCTCACCTAGCCACAAGCAGAGCCTGCTGTGATTACTGGTCACTCTGTAACGACAACACCAGCTCAAACCGGTCCCATCCTGTTTCTAATAAGACCTGGAAGCCACGTTTAAACCGTGGGCACTCCACTCGCATGTGACATGTTTGAATCTTTAATTGCTCCCTCCATAGAAGCAAGGACAGGAACATTTCAGAGGGCAGGTCCATTGTCCAGGAAGATCCGGTGCTGGGACCTCTGAAATCTTGCCCCCAACCCTGGGTCTGGGAGAGAGACAGATTTGAGCCTTGCTTCCTGTCTCCTTGCTAGTTGGCATCACAATAAAAGCTTTTTTGCTTTCCTCAAAAGCTACCAGCCCTGGCTGGTGTGGGTCAGTTTGTTGAGCATGTCCCATGCACAAAGGGTCTCCAGTTCAATTCCAGGTCAGGGCACATGCCCAGGTTGCAGCCTCGATCCCCAGTAGGAGGCGTGCAGGAGGCAGCCAATCAATGTTTCTCTCTCCCTTCCACACTCTCTAAAATCAATAAAAAAACATATATATTTTTTAAAGCTAGTACTATAGTATTGGCTTTTATGGGCACCAGGCAGCGAGCCCTTGCTTGTTAACAATTCCATCAGAGCCTTTGCTTTTTGTTTATTTTCTAAATTTTATTTGTGGTGGGATACAAATAACATAAAATTTACCAATGCAGTCATTTTAAAGTGTACAGTTCAGTGGCACTAAGTACACTCATGTTGTTGTGCAGCCACCATCTCTAGAACTCCTTTAATCTTGTAAGAATGAAAACTTCGTATCCATTAAACAACAACTCACCATTCCCTTCCCATCCCCTGTGCCTGCCAGCAGCCCCAGGCAACCACCGCTCCATTTTCCATCTCTGAATCTGACTAATGCAGTTGGTGGGATCACACAGTGTTTGTCTGTTTGTAACTGGCCTATTTCGCTTAACATAATATCCTCAGCATGTCACAACTGTCCCTTCTAAGACTGAATAATATTCCATTATATGTATACACCACATTTTGTTTGTGCATTCACCTCTGGATGGACAGACACTTGGGTTGCCTCCACCTTTTGGCTATCTAGTCTATATATATAAAAGGTTAATATGCTAAGTATCCAACCGTCTGACCAGTCGCTATGACACACACTGACCACCAGGTGGCAGATGGTCAACACAGGAGCTGCTGTGATGTGCACAGAGAAATGGCACCGCAGACCTGGCACCCACAAAGCAACACTCGGTTTCCCCCAAATGTGACACAGGCCCCACCACCACCCCAGAGCAACAGCCCACCAAATTGCAGCCAACGCTGCCAAGACCCCGTGGTGCAAAATGCAGCCCACAGCCCAGCCCAGCCTGGAAACAGTCAATGTGGGTGCTGGGTAATGATGTCACATAGCAACACCCAGTTTCCTCTCCCTAGCAACGACTAGCCTCCTTGCAGTTTCTTCAGGCCAGGAACACAACCTGCTTTATAGACAGGTGGAAACATTTCACACTTTAACCAAATGTCTGTGAAGCATTTTCCCATGCCTCATCTCATTTGATCCTCACAGAAGTCCTGGAGTAGGTAGATAGGAGACTCAGTGGAATCCTATTTTCTTTTCATTAGCCAGAAAACGGAGATTTATAAAGCTTAGAAACTTGACCCGACTGAAAAGAAGTAGGAAATGGTAGACCTTGAAAATGACTTCAGGTTTTCTCACTGCGCAGAATATAGTCAAACACTTCTGCAGTTAAATATTTCACCCTTTGTTCTCCCAGCGTGATATACAATAATAATCTGCTTCATGTTTGTTATAGTAATAAGTTTAGTTAGTATAAGATAGTATAATCAAATTTCATTTTTTTATTGGAGTGAATTTTAAACTTTACTTAGAAGAGGAACTTAATTTCTGTGTGTGTGTGTGAGACCCTGATAAGTAACTGGTAATGCCCTGCATGTTAACTCCTGACAAATAACTTGTAACTCCTGACCAACAACTCCCTGCGTGTGCACTCCTGATAAGTAACTTGTAACCCCCTGCGTGTGTATCCTGATAAGCCCAGAAGGCCACCGGAGCACACTGATATGAGACACTGAAGAAGCCCACCCATTGGGTATAAAAGAAGGACTCTCACAACAGCAGTCAGACGCCTGTCTGACCTCCACAGACAAGACATTCTCCTTCCCCCTGCAAACTGCCGTTCCTGCTCTGCTTCTAAGCCCAGACTGTTAAGAGGCCTCTCTTCGAGTCAAGAGACCGAGCTCCTTGCCG